TCTGTGTCCCTCATCAGTATTCATTGAAAATGGGCAAGGGGAGAAGGTGATTGATGACTAGCAGCCGAAATCCATTTCCCCAAAGTTTCTGAGCTTAAATAAGAGCCATTACTTTCATGTTTTCAATGTGGCTTGACTTAATTCTTGGATTCCCTGGGACAAATGCAGAGGTGATGCAAATAAGCAGTAGTGTAATGTGAGGGTGAGAGGGGCAGCAGTCCCAGGTACTGATTTAGAGTGGGTGCTAGAATGATTCCTGCCTCCTCAGAGTCTTTGCTGCATCTGGAGAAGCCCTGAATTCTCTGGCCATAGGAGCAAAGTTAGAGAATTCCTGCAGTTCCTGGCCATAAGAGCCAGTGCAGGGACAGAGCAGGAATCATTTTGTGTGGTCAGCCCTAGAAGACCAGCTGCCCAGCCATAGAAGCTGTGTGCAGGAACATAACAGGAGCATCAGGGGCCTTTGAGTCCCTGGGGCAGGTAATATCCTCCTATGACCAGGAGGAGCAAGGGTATTCCAGCTCAGCTAGGGCTGAGCAGTGCAGGACTGATGCCACTGTGTCCTGGTACCCAACTCCTACAGCTGGGGTTTCTCTGGCTCATATCCTATGGCCAGAGAGGACATGCCTGCTCCAGATGTGACAAAGTAGTGCTCACCCTCTCCTCATTCTCACCTCACAAAAGTTTTGCTTAGGGAATCAAAATTTATAATTATGCCTCTGAAATTATTTTTTAAAGTGGATTAGTTAAATCATATTACAATGTGCATAGCTATTTTTCTTTAAAATTAAAGTGCCTTAATTCAGTTTATTTTAATTTACTTTGAAACTAAATTCAAATCAATCTAATTAAGACTATTTTGCTATTTGAATGAGTCTACACAGGAGTTTGATGCTATTTAACTAAGCCACAATAAATTCTTACCTTTAGTTATTTTTTTAGTTAATTTTTCTGAGTAGTCTGGCAAGCCTTAACTCTCACGCTTCCCCTACCACTTTTATCATCTCTGATTTTAGCCATCCTGTATTTGTGTAACAAGGAAACATGGAAATATCTGTTTCTATTTTTTGACTCATCAGTTTAACTGAGGAATAGGAAGGAATACAGTCTATCAATTGGGGGGCAGATTTTTCTAGGGTGTAAATCATTTTTACTGAAAAACTGCAAGCTTTTTACTGACAGACAAACTTTTTTACTGATACATGTCATTACTAATATATGACATATGTGACTTTTCTGCCAGCCCATGTGCCGCTGCCAGATCCCAGTATAGGGGCCAAAGTAAAAAAGTAAAAAAAGTTGGTTGTCAGTAAAAAGTTTGCAGTTAAATATATTTTTTTGGGTTAGCAACCCCACTTGACTGCAGTGATGGTTTTATACTGTGCACTGCCAGGGACCCCCTACTCACTCCCATACCCTGATGCTCCCAGGTGCACTCTGCACCATTCTGCCCCGTAACCATTCCAGTTTTACCCACACCAGCCCTGCTACCCTCATCCTGGCACAGACCCCCAAAGAAGCCTACTTGTGAACCACCAGTATTATGGGCAGTCTGAGATGCAACAGTAGCACATGGCTGAGAGAATGCTCCCTATAGGTTGCTGTCCTGCTCAAACACCAGCGATCACTGCTTTTAGTGTTTTTACTGATGGCTAAAGTTTTTATATTAACTTTATTAACAGCCAATTTTAGCCTGTTTCTTTACTGATAGGAAACTTACTGACAGCTGGCAACCCAGCTGTAAAATGGTATAACTGTATCCTGCTTATATGCTAATGTTTTACTTATAAACCTTTCATGGATTAGTATTAATGGATAGATTTTCATATAAATGATATTCATCTGTACATCTAGCCATGTGTTTCTTCCTCTCATTGTAATGAAATAGACAGAAAAATATTTAAGGTATTGAAGTGATATAGAATGACATCTTGGATGCTTATATTTCTGGAATTGTAGCTTTATCATATGCTCAACAGACCTGTCTTTACAGAGTCCAGATTTTTTTCCACACGTTGTTCTCTAGTTTTCTCCCATTGGTTAGACAGATCAGCCAGCATTTATTTTAATTTTTCACTTGTAGCTTCAATATTTGATACTTATGGTTGGGGTTTGGGCTCTCAACTGTCATTAGGACTGTGAAATTTCTACAATGTAAAAAAAAAAATTTTAGTTCCATTGTATAAATCCAGCAATGCAAAAGTTTTCTGAAATAGTCAAAAGTTGAATTTATTTAGATTCAGAATCATCTTCTTTTTTTTTTTAACAGTCTGGAACATTTACTTGGTCTTTACACAGTTTGTTCTGTACAAAAAAGGAAAAAGACAATCTGTCATTGATCAAAGTCTGTTCTGGTTTCCTCAGACTGTCAGCATTGTGGTACTGCAGCACATATGGTGCTTCTAGATGTTAAATGTGCCAACCTCAGTTCTAGATCTGAAGTCAACCACAATCCAGCAACAACTCTAGTTAGACCTCTAGGTCATGCTGTTCTAAACTGTAGAGAATCCATTAAAGTATGTAATGTAGTACTTTTCACAGTGATGGAAATACATCTTATATTGTGAATGCGCATAAGTTAATTAACTGAATCTGATCTAATGAGCATTGAGAAGTGAATAAGAAATCAATGCTGTGCCCACCGTGGCTAGTAATTAATGAAGACTCAAATCATGGCCTAGGCTATAGGCAAAGAAGTCATCATACATTTCTGCCAGTTAACTGCATTGTGGGTGGCAATGCAGTTGAGTTCACAGATTCTCTATATCCTGTCTTCTGTAGTGTGCAGCCCATGAGAGAAGGCAAGCAGATTTGGCTGTGTCCCTTTACAAAATGCTTCATGGTGTGGTTATTCTGGTGTGTCAGAAATAAAATATACTGCATCAGACCTAGACCCGAGAGCAGTGGGGAACCTAGAAGCAAGCTTGCCTCTCTGGAGCCATAACCTCACCCAGGTTAACCTCATGCAGAGTAACCTCACGCAGAGTAATATGTACTTGCTCTTGTCTTAGGCATATCAAAAACTGATCATCTAAGACAGGTTTTGGTAATCCATGGCCTGAAGGGCAGGTCCAACTCAAGGTGCTATTTGAGACAGCCTGCGGACTTGGGGCTTCAGGAACAGGAGACTACAGTGGCAGTTGCTTTCCCATGTCACTGTGAGGAAAAGCCTAGGCACTGGACTTTTCCGCTTGCCACATCAGGGGAAGGTGATGGCAACAGCTGGGTCCTAGCACCCACCTTGCCTCCTGCCTCTGAGCTGAATTGGTTATTCTGGCTTGCAGCCTAAAAAGGTTGCTGACTTCTGATCTAACAGAACACATGAGTATTTTAAATATAATAAGAACAACAACTACTACTATAGAAAAGCTAGAAATGCTTTATATTTGTGCCTGCAGTTCTTTATTTCTGGTGGAATATTGTTTTTGACTGTTTTCATTTCCAAATGTTTAAAATGTTCTATGGATGTTTTCTTTCCTCCGTTACAGTTTATCATGCTGACATATATCTTCATGCTGGCCTGGCTTGGGGTTACAGCTTTCACTTCTCTGCCTGTTTTCATGTACTTCAATCTGTGGACCATTTGCCAAAACACCACCTTAGTGGAAGGAGCTAATCTCTGCTTAGACCTTCGTCAATTTGGTAGGTGAATGATGAATATTAAAGACAAATCAAGATTTCAAATTTAGTTTACAGTGCAGCTTTTTTGAAACATCTGCTTGGGATATTTTCCACAAATATCCCAATACTGCTTATATTTTGTCAGAAAAAAACAAGGATAAAGCAAAGAAGTTAGGGAAGAGTTTACACTTTTCATCCCACCTGCTCATGTTCTACTGTTATACTATATTGACATGTGAATGCTTAAGGAGCATCAATTAAAATCAAAGATGTAAAATTTGTATTGCTGCAAAATACATTGAAAGTGGATAAATCATGCAAAATAGCTGAGAGAAATTAGTAGTATGAAGTGAAAATAAAAATCTGGCTGAGCTGATCAGAAAAATATCAAGTTGATGTGTACAAGGAAAACAATCAGAAACATGCAAATTCAAGAGGAGGGGGTGAGATCATGGAGAGGAGCATTATGAAAATACAGACTAACAACATAACAGACAGTATTAGCTAGGAGCTTGCAATGCAGTATAACATAAAAATGCAGTTTTGATCACTGTTGTATTATGCATTGGGGGAAAATTGATAACATCATGATGAAAAGGCCTCAGTGGATCTGCAGCTGGAAAATTACACACATTTCTGGTGATTACCATAAAGCAGGCGACAAACTGGAGGGAAGTTCACTGAACAGAAACATATAGTAAAGGGGCTGAAGAGTTTCAGTTATGTAGAAAAGTTAAGTTTGTAATAAGTAGGCAATCGGTGATGCAGATGCAGGTCTAGTATCTGCAGATGTCAGATCAGAGATGAGAAGCAGAACTTTAAAACAATTGCAGTGTCCTGAAGTATATCTCCTTTTCCTTTGGGAGGAGACAAGGGCATGGCTTGCAATAATAAAGTTTCCACTGCTTACATGAGACACTGCACTCTCTCTGTATAGTCAATTCTAAGCTGCTTTCTCTACCTTTTTTATCTGTCTATTAACTGAACTGAACTAGAGCAGGAAAAAGAGCTCTTTCCAAAATACAGGCTTGTGTCCTGGTCTGGAAGAAATGGGCTTGAGATTTAGCAGGATCTTTTTGGTATTTGTGGGCCTTATAGCATCTATATCTAAATAGAGCTGGGCAAAATCATTTATTCATCAAAATTTGGTGTAAAAACTTGTGAATTTGAGCCAACTTTGCCAAACTGATTAGCAAAACACATTGAAAATACCAAAATATAAAGTTTTCTAAAACAAACTGTTCCAACTTTTCCGAAATACTTAGGTTTTGGCACTGCTAATAAAAGCCAATGAAATGGAAGACAATAGAAGAGGTGCTGCTGCCCAGCTTTTACCAAGTAGCTAGAACATTCCTCCTGGATGTGGAAGTCTTGGGTTCAGTGCTTTCTGCAGGGGTTTGAATCCACATAAATTACCGCATAGAAGAGCACCTAACTACCAGGCTAGGTGGGCTTCTGCGCTTGAGTCTCTTTTCAGTTCTCCAGTTGGAACTCTTAGACATTGTGACTGCACCTACATGTCGCTGAACAGTGATGTTGCTATGGTGCCATGCTTTACTACTTGCTTTTGGAAGTAGTAAAGCACAGCACAATAACTTCTTGTACTGCACCATGTGTGCTGCACATGGTTAGATTTTGCTGCTATGTCACCATAGTGGCACACTACACTGGGGGAGCATGCCACTAAGGTGATGTAGTTGCCAATCACCTGTAGACTCATGTGATTGCTACATCAGAGTAATGAGCCATATGGCGACGTAGCGTGTCACTATGTTGCTGTAGGGCAATGTATAGATGTGCCCTGTGTGTACCTAATGAGGCACATAATGCCTCTTTGTTCTGATAGTTGGAGCATTCACCTGGGAATAATGGACACAGACAGATGTTCAGCTCCCCACTAACTGAGAACACTTGGCAAGAATTGTTCTGAATTGCAAGGATCCCCCAAACCAAACAGAAGTTCACTCTTGGTTCAAGGGGGTATGGGAATTTAGCTGCTGGCTGGAAGCCTGCAGCTGGTTTCCCTTAGCAAGGGCCCCTCTTCTCTCCCAGACTGTCCCTGTTTCAGAAGGGCAAATGGTGCAGAGGGAGCTTATTTTAGGGGATCCCCAGCCAGCACTGGAGCGGTGGGGTGGGTGAATTGGAACCCTTTCCCCCACCTCAGCTGGGAGGGGCTCCAATACACCCATTCCACCCTCCAGTGGGGGCTGAAAAAACCCCAGACCAAATTCCCTCCTCTCCCTTTCTCTTCTCCCTTTCTGGAAACAGCTCAAGGCTGGGAGGCAGTGCAGACGGAAGTTATAGAAGATGCTTTATTTTGAAACAGCTTCTTCATCTGACCCCTCATACAGTTAGGGTTCAGATTTACACCTGACTGGCCCTTTTGGAAGCAGTCTGCTGCTGTGCACTTGTGTTGGTCATGGCAATAAACTGCTTTCTGTGACCAGATTGGGCAAGAACTGTAACTTTTGTCTGTGCCCTAGGAGACCCAGTTTCAGTCTGTTCTCTGCCTGATTCAGAGATGGGATTTGCAGGCAGGTCTTTCAGAACCATTGCCTTTCTGGTTCAGTGAATATTTAAGTTCAAAGTCCATGCAAATTGGAACATTCTTAAGAGCAAGGAATCTCAAAAATCTTCTTGTCTGGTAGTTAGTTTACACCTACCTGAGAGGTAGGTAACAATGGTTCAGGTGCTGTCATGCAGAATAACCTAGGTGTCCTATAGCCTAGGTGAATACGCAAACCTTTTGGATATTGGGTAAGAAAAAGAAGCAGCATCTCCTTTTCTGGAAGTTTAGTTAATCTGGTCTTTCATTTCCTTGTTTTTTTCTTGTTGTCATTTAACAATTGATGGAAATAAATCATTTTAGTTCATGTTGAACCACACATTTCTATCAGAATATTTTTTTTTCTGGTTCTTTGGGTTGATCCGCATAATTTTTCACCAACTGGCAGCTAATCCAAAAAGCCAGTTATTTTCACAGGTCTAGTAAAAAAAATGTATTTCGAAATACTTTCTGTGGTTTTTATTTAGTTAAGGTTGTATCTATAGTTTATTATAGGGAGAGACAGAAAGGGAATGCATATTCTATTTTATTTACTGTTTCCAGCTACATGGACCCCACTGATTCTCTAGTAAAAACAACAGCATTATTATTTTCCAAAGTAATCTGTGTAGCAGTTTTCATCAGGCTAGTCTATGATTTAATATCTGATTATGTGCAAGAGTGAACAATACAGAAACTTCTTCCCCTTACTAACAGCAGTTGCTTTCATTATCACCAGATGATTAAGCATACTTCTGGGTAATATACATTTATAGCTTCTAAAAGAAGCTTTGCACAAGACAAACAAATTTGGATTGTGACCTTAGCACATTTGTTAGCACAGGGATAAAGAATATTTATGTGTTCCAAAAAGCCAAGTGAACACCCTGGTTACAAATTATATTCTAATATTGAAATATTGAATTTGGAATTTATTATATTTTTTAAATGGCTTGAGGACTGATTGTCTGTGTTGCTTCCATTTAAACTGCCACCAAATGGATAATATGTTAGCCTTGTGGCAACAAAAACAGGCAGTTTGAAGGTATGCCAGATTGGTTTTATTGTTATGTAAATATTCTGATGATATTCAAGAATTTAGATTCCACAGCTACCCAACTTGTATCAAAAGGCTATCAAATATTCAATACATTTAGCATTCAGAGTATTTAATCTGTTTCAGGAATTGTAACTATTGGAGAGGAAAAGAAGATTTGCACTATGTCTGAAAATTTCTTGAGGATGTGTGAATCTACTGAGGTGAGTAAATGTGATAAGGTTTCTGTCAAATCTATAACATGCTGCATTAAGAAGCAACTGGCACATATGTTTTCCTATGACATTTAACTCTTTAAGGTTAAGCACACTGATAGATTGGAGGCACAAAGGAGAAATGTAGTCATGATTCCTTTTCCTAGAAAACAAAATCAGTCTGCACTTTTTTTTTTGGTCATTACTTTAGTAATTACATTTTGATTTAGGGGTATTATACAAAGGATTCCATTGGACTTTCTTATTTTTTTAAATTTGAGATTATATTGACGGCTAATGCACAAACTTTGTGGTTAGAAGAAAATCAGTAGAATCAATAATATTACTATTTCTCGAAGAGTACAAGGAAATTGCAGAGATGGTTGTGAGGGAATAGCAGTGTTTTTAAACTCACTGGGCAAGATTGTAATATGGTTGAAGAGAACAGCCTATAGTAGTTTTGAAGTAGTTATGCCATCTGTCATGGCTTGTTTCTTTATTTAAAAAGCCATATACTGCAGTCTGAGTGATTTTTTGTTTTTAAATGTTAGGTCAAGGAAAACAATTAGATGCAACAAAATAAATTCTCCACGTGTGATCACAGTGGGTATAATCCTGTTCCCCACTGAAGTCAGCGAGAGTTTTGCCATTGGATTCTTTGTGGCTGTGATTAAACCTTGGGTATAAGTGCTCTTAGTTACTGGTTGTTACAAACTATAAAAACTGTCTGCAGTTGGAAAGAATTACTAAAAATTGGTAGATGATATAAACTGAAAATAAACGCAGCATCATTTCATACCTACATACAGCATGCCCTCTTGTGACAGAGGTGAAACTGGTGGAAAATATTGAATCATTAATGTCTGCAGAATGATGGCACCAGGAAAGTAGTCATTTGTGGTGGGATTCCGAGGGAGGCACCTTAGATGAAACATGACATAGGCAGAAATTATGCATCTGCACCCAATAATCCAGGAAACAAGCAATCTAGTGGCTGTAAAGCCCATTAGGCCCACAAATTTATTTGGCACCTATGATTTGGAGCTGTTAAGTTCTCAAGGCACACAAACTTAAGCTTCAGTACATGCAAAGAAGCATGTTGTTTGGAGCAGCTGGGTACCTTGTTCCCATTTAAACTGTGTTGCAACCCAGATCTGAAGTGCAACACTGCCTGAATTAACCTTAAATTGTCAGAGGCACCCAGTCCAGCAGGGACACTCAGAACGTGCTTATAGAAGAACAGCAGCACATGGAATGTAGCCAAAAGCAAAGCCAAGTGGGACACACAAGCTTTCCACAGCCAGAGGGGATTCAAATCTGCCTCCCCCTCTTCACCACCCCTTCTCTTCCCTGCCCCAGCTGATTGCTCTGCCCACCAGGCTATTGATTAGTCTGAGCTGTGTAATTCTCCAACTCTCTGGCTCAGCCTGGGACAGTCATTAGCTAAGAAAGCAAGAGCCATATAGTGCCAGGAGGGAAGCAAGTGAGAAGGAGCCTGACTATGTACCCTAGAGGCAAAGTCACTCAGCTGGGGAGACCGGGGTTGCAGAGTTACTTCTAAGACAGCTCATGCATTTTACCTTAGTCATTAGATAAAAACTCAAGGGATCCTGTGAGCAGACTTCTTTCCAAGTGAGTGTCCTAACCAGTAGCTTGTTTGCATTTCTGTGGCTTACGAGCTTTGCATTCTTGGCCACACTATAGACCAACTTCATAAGGAGTGGAGGATTAGACCATTCACCCAGACTATTATCTGGTGGTTAGGGAAATCTTCTGGGTGGAGAGAGAATGTGAGTTTGAATCCTCTCAACCTGAGGAGAGCCTTGGACCAGTTTTGCCTCGGCTGTTATAAAAAAAAGTTGGGGGGGAGGGAGGAACCCTTATCCCTTCTCAAATAAACAACTGCCCTCAGAAGAGGGCTCCAGACTCTGGATCACAAGAGGATGAAGTCTCCAGACAATGGTGAGATTGTTCAATATATGTTGCTCTGTTCAGCACTGACTGGCTTTAGGCAGCCTGGCATGTGGCATGTTGTGAATCACCATTCATAGGCACCTGTTTCTTCCCGTTGCATACAGAATATAGGCACCTAAATTTACTTCCCTGAAACACACTACTGAGGTTAGGCACCTGATTTTCAAGTGTGGCAGCACCCAAGAGAGAAATGTCTAATGTGCTTTTCTGGGTCTGCAATTTTTTGTTTAGTTTCTGTGGAAAGCACTTTCCATGACACTTGCTTTCTTTGTGCCCTTTTGCAGCTAAATATGACATTCCATTTGTTCATTGTGGCACTTGCTGGAGCTGGAGCAGCAGTCATTGCTATGGTAAGCTATAGATCCTCCTGCCCTCATCCTCCAGACCTGTGCTCCATCACTTCCCCTGACACATTCTGTTAGTATATTATTGTGAGAAGTACTCTCAGTAGCCAAAAATATCATTCAGGTACTACCCAGAGAGATAAAGTATGTGAAGTTTCAGGGATATTGTCAATGTGATTTTGTAAATTTATGTTTTTAATTATTTTTTTAAAATATTTTAAAGCACAGTATTATTATGAAGAGTCTTCAAACAGCACATCCAGATTGTGTTTTAAATACCAAGATTCGTTTAAGAGCATGGAAAGAGATTTTTCAGTTCCTGTACAGTATTTAGAAGGTTCTTCTGGGAAAGCCGCAAAGCAACTCCACCTCTCTCTTTCTCATGCCCTCCTGTATATGCATGTGCCTGCCTCCTGTCCTTTCAATTTCATTTTCATCTAAGCTGCTGCTTTTAGTGGCAAAAATCCTTTTGCGGATACTGAGGACCAGCATTCCCATGGGCAGTGACATACTAGCATTTCTGCAATGGGCATCACTTTGAACATGGTGAAATTTTGTCAAGAATTAACAAGTCAGCTTTCCAGATGTTAATGAGTGATATTTGTCAGTGAAGTTTGTAGTCTGAGCTACATATTTACATGCTGTGTCCCTTTCCCTTATTCTTTTTCTGTCTTGCCTAAGAGCTCAAGTGTTGTATAAGAGTGCTGGTGTTGGGACTGTCCACCACCCTGTTTGTATAGGTTCTAGCACAATAGGGACCATGCTTGAAGGGAGGAAATATAACTAGGTGCTGCTGCTGTAACTAGAACTGCTATCATATTTACTCTCATACCACATGCATATTCCCCTCCTCCCTCCCGGCCACCCCAATCAGCTGTCCAAAATTTTAGTACACATTTTCTTTGCTGGAATAGAAGCACGGAAATGCTGTGTTGCAAAATGGCAGCCAGCTTCTGTCTCAGTAAACAAGCAGGGAGGGGGAGAATCCAGTGTTAACCCTTTCATAGCTTGCTCCCAGCTTGCCAGTTGAGAGAAGCTAACAGCCATTTTGCAACAGCCTCTCCATGAAAATGCCAGCTCTAGGGCATGATTCTGGAAAAAGTCTTTTTCCTCCATTCTGACCTCTAAAAACAAAGTGTGTGTCTTTTCTGAGGTCATGTGGTATGAGAAAAATACAGGTATTATAATTATTGTTGTTGTCATATGTTTTGGTGATTTATTTTTCATCCATGAAAATTGTATTTCATTTACACAGATCGACAACAAATCTAGTTATATAATGAAAATGATTTTTTAACTTGAACCCTAGAACCATTGAGTGTCTTGTCTCAGTCCACTGTTTTGGTGCTTGCCCTGAGCATGCAGTCATGCTGTAAAAGAAAGATGCATAGTGTAGTAAACTCAGCTAGTTGGTCTTAAGCAGCATTTGTGCCTCAGTTTCTATATCAGCACAATGCTTCATTTAGCTTTCTCTGCTACCTCAGCAGGATGTCATGAAGTTTAATTAATTTTTAAAATCTGATATTTAAGTGCTTCAAGATAAAAAGTGCTGCATAAGCAGAATGATTCCATACTTTGCTTTATGTTAATGCATTTCATTAATTACTTAACTCTTCCAAAAGCAGACTTTTTTCTGCATAAAGAGCAACAGTAGTCAGAATATCACATTACAGGAAAAATGGTTCCTTACTGCATCACTGTTTCAGTTGCTTTACTAGTGATGTTCGATTTTCAGAAGGGTTATTGGTTTAGACGAGTATTTAAAAGTTAAAGTAACTATAAATATGAAGAATAGCAGTTAGCACTTGTATATCATTTTACATTTTCAAAGCACTGTATAAAAGGTACCTGATAAAGCCTTACAACAGTCCTGTGAAGTAGGTATGTTATTTTATCCCTCTTTTAACATAAATTCACTTCTCCAAGGCTATATGGTAATAGAGAAGGACTGGAAATCAAGAGTTTTTTAATCTAAGGCTTTAAACTCAGTTCCTTAGAGGCAATGCTGTTTTATCCAACATATCATTCATGCCCCATTTTCAGTATTCAGTCAGACTTCCTTATTTGCATAAATGAGCGTTTTCTTCCCAGTCTTTAATTGCTCCACAAATTCTGGTGGCAAGATCTTTACTAGGTACTGTCTTACATTCTGCCCCATGGCTTATATTTCCTATAAAAGGGGACATTACGTTCTGCCCCATGGCTTATATTTCCTATAAAAGGGGACATGTGCCAGATGGAAGTGATGTAATCTGAATTTAAAAGAGGACACAGAGTAGCTCCAGACTTAAGAGGCAGTATCAGTCCAGCAGAAAGAGTGCTGGATCCCACTGTTGTAGAATAGTCCCAAGAGCAGCTATGGATTTCTTTTAATTCCAGAAATGTATTTCAATATAAAGTGGACTTCAGGTTATGGAGGGGAAACACTTTTTCAGTACAAATTTTATATTGCCTAGCCGGTTCAAGCTCTGTGAGACTCCCTCTGTGCTGATGCACCAGTTATGATTCGGTCACATAAAATTTCAGCATGAATACTTCTGAATTTCTGTATAAAAGCTTTTCTGAGTAAGACAGCTGAGGAAGGTTGTCTCTTAATTGGTAGTAGCCCCTTTAGCCCTCCCAAAATCTTAAACTTTGCCCACTTTCAGTGCCTTTCAATGCCTAAAAGAGACTTCGGTCATAGCGCGTTATACAGATTCTAATGGGATGTGCATTCCTCTCTCTTTCTTGTGTGGCATAATCATCAGTGAAATACTGAAGTGCATTTATGCTCATAATGATATAATTAGGCTTCAGTGCCAACATCTAATTGAAATGCATCAGGATGGCTCATGCTTCTCTCAGAGATGGTTTCATACTATAAATAGATTGAAGCCAATGTAAGTACCTCAATGTACACTGAGCCCACATTTTGAGGATTTTGTTCATAAGAGCTAGAGATTTAGGTGTCTTTAAAAACAAAACAAAAACATGAAAGCTTAGATTTTGAATTGCAAAGTAGCAGCCATCAGGAACAAGGACCTGTTCAGTGAGCTGCTGCAGAGCAGCCCTACTAGAACCAATAGTGACAGCATATTCTCAGGGAAGATTTGATGCTGCTTGGGGAAGAAATCTGATTAATTAATGGTCTCCTTTCACCAGCTTGCCAATGCAGCGGTATGGACACTGAAATAAATTAGTGGCAAGAGCACTCTGATTAACTGAAGAAAGCTTAAATATATTCAACTGTAGAAGCTCCTCTTGTTTGTCATGTTCCTTTATTTCTCTTCAGTTTATGAATTAGACTAGGTTTTTCATATGGCTTGTTGTCACTTTTTGCAGCACAGTTTTATTTTCCTTGGGTCAAACTTGTCTCCACAGGAAACAACATAATTGCAAAGCAAACAAATACATAAGCAAAAAAGGATTAAGTCACACCATGCAATCCTTTCCCAGACCCTGAGAAGGCAATTCAAACTCTGTGAAGCCTCCTCAGCAGCCCTCACTCTCACTCTGGTTCTCCCTCTCTCTTGCCTCTCACTGAGAGCTTTTAACTTTCTATGGGTGATCCAGTCATCCCCATCAGTTGGCCTAGTCCTCCTCAGCAGGCAGGCAGGCAGTTGCCTTTCAACTGTCTGCAGCTGGGCTGCAGCCCCTGAGCCATATACCCTGCAACAGGCTATTCAGAGGACATAACCGTATTTGCTTTTGGCCTGAAATTTGTCATTTTCTGATTGTAAATTATAATACCACAAGAGAGGAGTAGTTTTTGAATCTGGCATGGGACAAAGAAAATAAGAGAAAGGCATTGTTTCTCACAGGAACTTTAATTTTTAATGTGGAATGATGAGAGTATTAAAGCTATCTAGATATTTCTGCAAGGATGAATAAGAGATTTCCAGTCTGGCTTGGTCCAGATCTAAAAAAAAAAAGAAATAAGAAGTTCATGTTCAGTGGTACAAGAGACTGCTGGTAGCAGCCATAATAGATTGCCAGTGCTGTACATCCATTAGGGTTAAGGACAGCTGATGTTGACCACAGTGCTGCCCAGCCCATAGTGCTGGTTTATAGTAGTATGCAGGCAGGGGGTGATTTTGGCCCTATTCTACAAACACTTGCTTCTGCACTGGTCTGAGCTACTTTGTGTTTTCATTCTAAGGCCTCTTACTTCTCTGGCAGTCCTGCTTTGGCTAAGGTGTCCATTTGGATGTAGTTTGGTTTCCATTCCCGTGTTTTGCATATATTAAGTTGTTTTGGGTTTTTGTGATTCACTGCATTTTATCACAAGCCATTACTTATCTAGGATTTTGTGCCTGGAATTTACAACTGTCCATGGAGAGGTATACTAACTGCATTGTATCAGTTATGGATTATAGCATTTGTGGACCACTGTTGCATGGAAGTACTCTGATACCACATGATAAGATTACCAAGGCTAAGTTTACAGGGTAAAATCCAGGAGGCAGACAGGCACATATAGTTTCATCTGAGGCCACCAGGTTTACATTATGTATCTGAGCAGAGTTTGGTTTGTAACGTGGAAGGCATCATGCTCCTCATGTGCCTTGAAGTGACACCAAGTGTTAAATGTGTCACGAAAGTATACTACAATGTATTTTGCTTTTTTGTAACATGGTTTCTCATGGTAGCCTCAGTGACTGTGGGTAACATTCTAAGTACTAGGAAACTAAGCTAACTTCCAGTTTTTGCAAGAAACTGGGAGCCACTTATGTGAATGGATGCAGTTCTCTGAAATAAATAAGAATTTTTTTAAAGTATTTTATTTTCATCAGAGCAACGTTTCCTGGTTTGGGAGGGGGAGAATAGCTAGAGGAGAGTTTGAAGCAGGAGCCCTGATGAAGTCCAGTGCCTCCCCACACAAGAGAGGTTGACATATGGTCTACCTCGTATTGCATGGCAGACAACTTATTTTCACCACTGAGATTCCTTGAAACTTTTGGTTCTGCTGTTGGCACCTTGTTAACTACCTTTTTGAGAAATTTTTCTCTTGCTGTCAAAATTGACCA